ACTGTTCAGTTTGACTATAAATTTGCTGAATTTGGAGCTCTGAATAATTAAAGTTTGAATATTTTTTCTTAAAAGATTAGCCTGAGATTCACGTCATGTTTCGAGATTCATGCACTTAGAAGTAATTTGATGATAGTTTATCATATATGTAAATACATAAAAAATCGTGTGGTATTTACGCAAAATTTCCTATATTTTTCTTATAGATCCGGTATGAGATTAAAATAATGTTTTAAGGAAATGAACTACTAACTTTTTCTATAGGAGCTACTAATTTCTTGCCATATAAATTTCTAAATATTGCGAAAAAAATTACTACAAATAGATTTATATCTGTTCTTTGTGGCTTAATATTTCACGAACATATCAAATGTTCGTGAATCTCATCAAATCTAACATTCATGTGATATTTTTGAACTATCAAACAGACATAAATATTTATGTGTGCCTCGATCAAATCATTGATAATTTGATAAATTTTTTTTTAACATAAATCACATCAAAAAACCACCTTTACTAATTTTTGAAATGCAATAAAATAAACATTTTCATCTTTACAATACCCCCAAAGTGTTATAAATATACACTTCCAACATTAACTGTCACACATGTAAATACATAAAACTATGTGATATATACAAAAATTTCCCAAAAGATAGAAAAAAAAAAGGAGCAGCCAAGTCCAACTCCACATGCATGCAGGCCCCACAACATTCTATCATATCATAATATAAAAAGGATAACTTCATGCCCATACTAAATCATCCCCACCGGAGTTCAGCCCATAAAACCATAATACATATAATATTATATGCCTCCATGCAAAGAAGCTCGTGGACACAAACTCCACACGTCCTCTCCTGCTCTACACAGTTCTCCTAATCTCAAGTAAAGTAAAGAGAGAACGAATACTTAACTTATAAAGACTGGCAGTGGAGCCCCTCATCTTGACAGAAAGGCAAAGGTGTCTGTATGCAACGCTCATGTCTCTGTAGCCCCTTGGCAATGTTCTGTACACTGATGGAGTTTAGTCTTGAGGGTTGTCTGCAGTTTAGAGAACAGTTGGTCGCTGTGGTTCTCTAGAATAGTCTGGCGAGACTCATGACTCCATCATCGTTTTTGAGCTTGAGTTAGCTAGCGGTTGAATTTTGATTCGTTCGTCAAGCCTACCGGAATAAGATGATAGAGGGAGAAATACAGAGTAATGATAATTGTTGGTTGGGTTATTCATAAGAAGTGATCTATCTATTTATGGAGAAATGGGGTATTATATATGGAAATATTAAATGTCTATTCGTGTGTTAATGGAGGTGTTACAAGATATTTTATGTATTTAACATGTATAGATTTTCGGTTTAGCTATCGTATTACTCGATCGGTCGGAATTAGTTGGTTTTAGTTCGGCAAGACTTGCTTGTTCTCTTTTGCCGAATCGGGGTTGTCTGTCGGCCTTTAATGGTCTTCTAGTCGGTAAGACTTGATTCGATCGGTTTGGATTTGTTAGTTGGTTATGCTAGTTTGTTTGTTGACTATTGATTCATGGATAAGGAACTTTTTTCGTCAGAGCTAGGATACCTTATCGGGCAAAGAGTGAATTATTGTAATTTGAAAGGAAGTGTACTCCTCAAAAAGTTGATACTTTGGGGATGCTCTGTGTGATTATATGATGGCTAGTTCTCGGCTCCTAGTGAGAAAGTCTCAAGAGCATCTGTGGAATAGCTGGCGATGCTATATTTTTCTTTTGAATCGGGTTGTGATAAGAGGTCGGGTCAATGGCTCCGCTTGGCTCGATAAGTTTTAGTCTTTGGTTTGGACTGCCTTTGCTGGATCGGCCTCCAACCCTGATTGGGGAGGGGTTGCATGTAGGCAGAATGATTTTTTAGCATTATGTTAATGAATGCTTGGCCATGTGATGATGGACCATGGTCTTCTTATGATGAACCTTTGGCCAACCGATTGTGGGCCCTTAGTCTTTCGCCTATGGGCCTTCGGTCTTTGTCCTGTGGGCCCCCCTTGGTCGTATTCCTCTATACTTTCTTTGTTTCTCTTGCATTTGTCATGCAGATGCATCATATCTGAGATACACTAACATCACTATTATTGAAGTTGGACGTGATTAATTTCATGTAAACATGATCTATTAAAGCGATATCCTTGTCTTAATTTTTAGTGATGTGTCTTCTGAAGTTGATGTTACTCTCAAGTTATGCAAATATATATATTTTTTCTATAACCACCTCATTAATGGATATATTTTGCAGTTTTTGTATTACAAATATTTAAATTAGCTGAAATATGTTTTCGATTATAACCTATGAAGTTTGCCACATGAGCTAATTCTTCGGATGTGTACATGCTGGCCCCCACAGATTGTAAGTAATATAAATGAAACCACATTCATCTTGCAGCAGTCAGAGAAAGAGATGCAGAATCCTAACTACTGTTGAAGATAGGATACGGCTGCGCTTAGATGCAAAGAATAAACAATCATTCCATCTTTACAGCTTGTGCAACTTTGGTCACTGTGGAGATGAATCATGCAATAATGGATTAATTGTAGGGAGCAGATATCAATCATGTGCTGCAGTATAAACATATATATGTGTGCATGCATGTATGTATACACCATAGGCTCTTTTTATAAAGTTGATTAGAGTTGGAGCACTATAAGTTAAAAACATAAAGAAATGATCACTTGTTATTTGCTATAAAATACAAGAGGTGTGTAGCCTAAATAAGAACTCAAATTTGTAGAAGACTTGACTAACTTGAAGCAAATTTTTGGTTACGTTAAAGGACTCGTTGAATATTTCATGAGTATCAATGAGTATGTATGAGCTTGGTCGGCCGGCGAGTTCACTATGAGTCTGTCCAGTTTGCCTCAAGCCTGATTATCAACTCCATCACAAAATTGGCTAGGCTTGAACCCGATTGGCTAGTTCATCTTGATCTCTACTCACGAGTTCTCTCTTTATATTTTTGAATATATAGATAACATCAATTAAAATAATTTTGATTGAATAAACGGTCAATAACTTAGCTTTTTTTTTAATGTTTAGGTTATATTAGGATCATTAAGTTCATTCATACTTGATTTTATAATTAACAAATTGAGTTGAACGGGCATCCAATTCAATCATATTGGGCTCATTTACACCCCCTTTTCGAAAGAACAAAATGGGGTATTAAATATCATAATTTTTATACTATTAGCCTACATTAATAAATAATACTTTACTTTTTGAGAAAAGAAAACATCTCTTAGTATAAACATAAAAATTCGTGAGGTGCATTTTTTCTGATTCATGCAGTTTTTACATCCATATTGCAATTTGAATTGTCCTACTTGAACATTTGACTTTTTATGAATTAAATACATATCTAAATGTGATGCAAGTAGACTACATTAAAGATAACAATTTGAAAACAGAATAATATATTATAGGATGGGCACAACCACTGAGCACCATTGCCAGCTTCATGTCATGGACCAATAGTCCCACATCGGCTAGGTGTAGAGCCGAAAACCAGTATTTAAGTCCTGGGCTGCCCACCACCCCTAAGGGCTCTTTTGGGAGGTGACATTCAACTGTCTTTCCCATTGTTGCTTATAATGTTGTGCTCTATGATGGTGATGGCTCCATTCAAATCCACATCATCTCAACCACAACCTACATAGGCATTGCCATTTATCAAACCCCGTCATCAAAGCATCCACACATTGTCATCATGAAGGGTTCTTTATCAAGGCCTCACATACAACATTATCTCCATTGATGACGCCTCTATCAATACCATTTTGAATGAATTACATATCAACATCGTCATTGACGACGCTTTCATCAATAATTTCATCATCAATGATGCATCCATCAAGGTGACTCCATAGATGATATCAATATTGAAGATCATTCCACAATTGAAAAATGCATTCTTCGGTGATTTCATCAACGATGTATTTTCTTAAATGCTTATGTACATGTTAAAGAGGATGATAAAAACTTGCATATATTCCTACCCTAAGGTGTGATAAGCAATTGATACTAAAAATTACTTGGAGGGGTATTATGAGATCATTGCACAAAAAAAAATGTTACAAGCCCATCGTAACAAAAATTAATTTGAATATCAATGAATACATCTTTTACCTTTGGATGATAACAAGCCAAACTTTAGCTTAACTTGCAACCTTTGAGAAGCTTCTTGGAGAAGGTAACCAATTATAACATGTCCAATAGTTATAACTAAAGCTCGTTAACAACCACAAGTCACCATAAACTCAATGTCAAAGTGCTAATAATTAAGGAAAAATCCCTCACTAAATGCCCTTATATAGTTATAATACATGGATCCTTTAAAAAACTATCTTGTTACATCCATGACTTCTTAACTCTTCAAATTCATGTCCATGCAAAATGATGAAATTATGACATCTTGATATTCTTTACCATCCATGCACCGTTGACACACCATAAAGCTTGCATATTTGAGAACATATTCAAAGATTGAATATTTGGAAAAAAAAAAAAAGGCAAAAGATAATATCATGTAATAAGAAGTGTTAATTAACTATGAGAGCTTGTAGAAAGCTGGGAAAATCTCAATCCCATGCTCTAAATAAAGCCTACTATTTATATTAGGGAAAATATGATTATATAATATTCGGCTTAAGAAAAATTCTCATTTCTTTCATCATAACACTTCTATAGAGTATAGTGTCAATAAATTAATCAAAAAAAAAAATAACATTTTAAGAAATTTATATTATGAAGTTTGCCTAAAATGCTAGGCACAAGTATTGCTAAAATGCCTGAAGCAAATAAATAAAGAATATTATACTTGCTTGGATTAACTTTTCATGGACAAAACAAATCAAATTCCTTTCAACATATCATGCACATCATAATTAAGTACACTCTTTTTAAGTACTTTCCTAATTGATTGGTCTGAAGGGCTTTATTAAAAGATGCTGATACAGCTTAGCTAAAGGTTTAAGCATAATGAGAAGACTGTTTTTAAGTGTGGGGTCAAAAACTCTAATTATTAAAAGCAATGACTCACTTTAAAAACATGAGAGTGATTGAAGCTATCATAAGATCATAAATGAGATCTACCCTACAATCATAAATTTTTTTTAAGCAACTTATGCAGTAACATTGGGATGCTAACAATACATCGATGATGCGACCAACATATTGGCTACCATCGGTGGAGTAAATCAATATAAAAGCTCTGATAGCTATTGTTATGATGAGGACCAAGCCTAGAGTCCTTCCAAGGATTACTATGTATGTCTGACCTCCTCTTAAGAAGACAAACCAGACTTTCGCCGTTCCCAAGCAGGAAAAGATTACCCATAAGGACCGAGTGAGGATCACATCTACTCCACGAGCACTTCACCTCCGACTTGGAGCATTGAACTAAAAATCGGAATGAATTTGAATTCAATAGATAAAATATTGATGAGTAAAGTTGCAACTACATGCTCAAAAGTGTACCCAATGATAAGTATTAGAATGTTGATATACATAGATATGTAAGAGGCAATGGTCTAACATAGCAAGAAAAGAGTTGGAAGAGAGTTAACTATAATGCCATTTGAAGGCGCTAAATGTGAGAAGGTTGAATTAAGAATGATACAACGGCGCAGACAAATTACATAATCATCAAAGTGCAAATAGAATTTTCATGCTTTAGTGATGAAAGATAGAAAACTTCTCAAAATCAATAGCATGGTGGAGTGAAAACATCAGGCATAATTGCACAAGACATGGATAGGAGAAACACTGTACACAAGCAAACAAGGGCTAAGTGTTTTTATTATTATTTTTTTGTTTATTTATTTTATTTATTTATTTTATAATTTTCACATTGACGCTAGGCATAATTTTTAACATAGTATATAGAATTTGCTTTATGTTCTTATGCTTATTTGGTCGAAATCATGTTCATCTACGTTCAAGGGCTTTGATGAAGTCACTTCTCAGTGGTTTTTACAGGCCAATCAAAGGTAATGTAAAAGGCACATTCCTCATAACTTCAAGTAAAGCAATCCAAGCTTAGAAAAAATTATTGAATAAAACTTGAGGCTATACAGCTTATGACATTGGAGGAAAAAAAGAGTATTATAAAATCAAACACCGTCAAGAAACAAGTCTGCGCATGTAAATCAAGAGACATAGCGGAATCACATGGATAACTTTGCTCTCCATGTTCCATAGAAAGGCATGTAGCTTAAAGCATATGAAGGAAACATATCTCCAATACTTGATTTTAGAAAAACGACATGCGAAAAAGGAGAGGTGAGTAAAGGATAAAGAAGATTAGAAAGAAAGCAGCTCCAGCAAGAAAAGGCGTCTACAAAAATCTAATGCAGTAAAATGCGGCACATGTGGTAGGTTGTCACAGCAATTAAAAACATGAGGGACCACTAGTAAGCAGGAATAGAAAGAAGACTAAAGGAAATAAGGTAAAAATAGGAGAAAAAGGTTTGCACCTATTCTTATCTTCAGATGTTAATGTGAACTATGCACATGAGTGTAACATAAATGCGAGAAAGGACAATTTAACATCGGAATAGGAGATATAGTAATGGGCTGTATGCCCCATGGCTTAAGTCAATGTCACCCTACTGGCAAGTGTGCGAAAGAACCAGAATTGGTTATTGCCTTGGATCCACTGATTGGGGATAAGAGGAAGAAGAATATCAAAGTTTGTTCATGTGCTGATCTTAGTGATGGTCAGGTGAACTGCCCTAAAGGCCAGTTTGGGATAGCCTTTTTGGCATAGTGCATTTTGAAAATGTCAGGTGAAGCTTTTGGAAACAGCTTCGCGGTGGAATTTCTTCGCGATTTTATTACCCTACTGCCCTCCGTCATGACCACTCCCTTCTCTCACGTTTCTTTTGCCCAATGAAACACCTCTCTCGATCGCTCCTCTCTCTCGAGTCTCCCTCCGGTGGCAATGGGTTGCCTTTCTCCTCTCCCTCTTCCCTCCGATCTCAGGTGGCAACGGATTGTCTTTCTCTTCTCCCTCTTCCCTCCAATCTCCGGCTCTGTTTATTTACTGTGCTCTCCGTCCTCCCACGGTATCATCTATTAATTTTCAATGGAACGACTTTCTCTTTGAGATTTGTGGCTTTCTCATTTACAGTTTGAAGTTAGAATTTGAATTTTGTAATTTGTGGATTTCTCTTTATGTTTAGGAATTTGAATTTTGCGAATTTTTTGGGTAAATTACAGCGAGGGCACCCAAAACCAATGCATTTACACTTGTTATGATCAAACCATTATGAATGTGATAAAAATTAAAAGTATAGAATGTGGTTTTATCTTTACCTTTGATGTTTGAGTGAGAATTTGAAAAATAGCTGAAAGAGGGTGCAATGCTTGCTTTGTTGATATCAATTTTTCGGGTGTCTTGTATGCAATTGCCTCAAATGAAAATACATAATATGCGGTTTTATCATTACCTTCGATGTTTGAGTAAGAAAGTGAAAAATGGATGAAAGAGCGTGCTTGATTTGTAGATAGCAATGTTTCGGGTGCCCTGTATGTAATTGTCTCAAATGAAAAATATGGGATGGGGTGTTATCTTTACCTTTGATGTTTGAGTGAGAATTTGAAAAATGGTTGAAAGATGGTGCTTGATTTGTTGATAATAATATTTCGAGTGTCCTGTATGTAATTGCTTCAAATGAAAAATATGATATGAGGTTTTATCATTACCTTCAATGTTTGAGTGAGAATTTGAAAAATGGATGAAAGAGCGTGCTTGATTTGTAGATAGCAATGTTTTGAGTAAATTACATATAGGGCACCCAAAAGCTCATGCAAACTATTGTGAATATGTTCAACATGAAAAATATGGGAAATTTTTACCTTTGATTGTTTGAGTGAGAATTTGAAAAATGGTTGAAAGAGGGTGTTTGGTTTGTTGATAGCAATATTTCGGGTGCCCAGTATGTTATCGGGTGGAGTGATGTGGATGTGGTAGTGTGTAGCATAAAAGTGTGAGTCTGTGGTGTGGAGGTGGTGTGGAGTTTGTTTAGGGTTTATGGTGGCGATGATATTATGACATTGCTATTTCTCTTCGAGTTGTGTTGAATATTATTTATGGCAAATATTTATGTTAATTAATTATTTTCATGCTAGTAATACAATTATTAAGACAAAAGGAGTCGGTTCATCTGCTATGTAGGATAAAGATACAAAAATAATATTTTGCGACATTTCTTTAAGAATGTCGAATTGAGAAATAAACCAACAACTTATTTCAAAAAGGAAGCTGACAAAATATTATTTAAAAGTTCAAGGAAAGTACAAACAGAGAATACGGTATAATGCAATTAAAAAATAAATGGGATCAACTCAAAAAAGAATGAAAAATCTGAAAAGATTTGAAGGGAGGATCCACAGGTTTGAGTTGGGATCCGATGAAACGAACAATTAATGTTTCAGAGGAATAGTGGACAGAGAGATTGGAGCATCCATGGGCTTCGGTAAATTACGCACAGAATGTTATGGATGTATGTGGCATCAATGTTTGCTTCACTTTTATTATTGTCGGTTGGGAGGAAAGTGCACATGAAAGTCAGATTCGAACTAAGAAATACAACGTTCCTCATCCACCCCGAGGTTTTCTTTAGATCAAATTACTCAAATATTGTTCTTACTACCATATTGATCATTGTATTAATGTCAGGTAAATATTACTTGTTCAATGTTGGACATCTGTTACAAAGAGGGTATCTGAAGTTTTATCCTGATACAAAATATCACATACTTGACTTTAAGAGAGCCAGCAATTTCACTCGGAACAGAAGAGAAATGTTCAACAAGAGACTCCTTATGAGGTGTCATTGAAAGGACATTTGGAGTTTAAAAAAACAAATGGGTCACACTGCGTAATATGTATACACTTCAATTTCCTAAACAAGTACAAATTGTGTTTGTCACGATGACTCTCCACAATTATATTCGATGACATCCTTTCCTCAACGATATAAATTTGAATAAAGCTAATGAAGACCATTCACATGTTCCTATTGAGACATGAATATCGTCTAGACTGTCTTTGCCACAGACCGAAATTGATGTGCTCAACGATATAAATTTGAATAAAGCTAATGAAGACCATTCACATGTTCCTATTAAGACATATGAATATCGTCTAGATAGTCTTTGCCACAGACCGAAATTGATGTGCCCGAGAATTGCATTAAAGATGGAGATGGTGCGAGCGAAATGGTACAGTTGAGAGAAAACATTACGGATGCTATAGTTAGAGGCTGAATAGAGGGAACATCTATGTATTATTGTTATTTTATTTGTAATGTGTTGAAAATATTTATTGTTTATTGTATTAGTATTTTATACAACTTATTTATATTTTTTATGCATTTAATGTTTATTGTACCAGTATTTTATACAAGTCATGTATATTTTTTTTTCTTATGCATGTATTCTTTACCACTTAAATGACCAATGAGGCAATCGTGGGTAATAAATGTAATTTAAATATTGCATATTTTTTTGTGGATTTTGGAGGTCTATGATGAGACATTTGACCTTAAGGGTTCTTCCGGATAACCTATATGTCACTATTGATTCTTGTCACACATGAAATCCCAATGAAGTCAACCAAATTCCTCTCCATTTTTCAGCACTTTGATTTTTGAGGTTTTTCTGACGAACCGTTTTTTGGTGATATGCATATGTAACACACAAGTGCTCGATATTGTGTGGGTAAAAGACAACCAAAAATCTATTTTTTTATAAAATATGTTTTCTTCTTGTAGTGACAGATTAGTTGGTATATATACTGTGTTCACTGATACCTCACAACAGCATAAAACTTTAATTGGTCATTTCTATTATTAATTTTTACTAATATTACATCTAAGGGTATGTGTTTTATGTTTTTGAGCCATCAAGAAAGATGGGCTTGATGATTTTTGGTACCTCCAGAGCATTGTACTGCTACTGTTGACTACAATGTCTCCTGTTTACTTTGCGACAACTACATAGCTACGAGATAAAGTTTTACAGGTGTCGAAGGAGAATAACAGAAAAATGTAACTTCTTTAGTGGGTAGATAGATTGGAGGATTCCACAGTTGAGAGTGGTCAGAGGTGGAGAGTTTCCCTGTACGACGATTTATCTCGTGATATACATCATCTATATTTTAAAAATAATATTATCATATTTTTTAATTGTTATTTTAGTAATCTTTTTTTAAAGTTTGATAGTCATGTTATTCACTGTTTGGTGAGATATCTATTTTTATTTTGTAATATTCGAACTGGATATTGCTTTCAAATATGTAATATGCTAGTATAAACAGTTCTGTTGAAAAAAATTTTATAGTACAGGGCAGAATGATCATTTGTTCAGAAACAACTGCAGCACAGTTGTTTTAA